GTTAATAGCTGTCACTGTCACAGATGCAGAGAGACGTGATGAAATTCTCCACAATTTCTGGAATAAATTCTAACACTATGCATTCTCATGATCATCCGAAAGTTGTCATTTCACTCATGCTTTTATATCTGATAGAATTTATCTCTGTAATATATCCTCTATCATTAGCTATTGATTAGGCCATAGATTTTATGCATTTGTAATAAAATAGAGTTTTATTTCCACAAATACAAGCTCAGCAGATTGTTTTATTGAGGGATACTGACCCACAGTGAAAATATGTATCAAATAACTCACAAAGTGAGAAACTTCAGTGAAGATTGGAGAATGCTCAATAAAGAAATGAAGAAGACATTGAATAGAAAAAAATAATGTTTATCTTGAATAAAGAATTTTTAAAGTAGATTTTTAACTTCTTATTATGAGCAGTTAATTAATGAAAATAATGAATTATGGTTAAAGAAACAAATAAAAAATGTAGACCATAGAAAATAAGAAATAGAAAGTAGAAACAGATAAAGACAAATTGGGTAAAGAAAAAATACATAAAAGTGACAGTAAAGAAACAAAAGAATTAATCGCAAATATAGATTTAAAATAAATTTAGGTATGAGAAAAAGAATTAAAAAAATGAAGAAAATTAAAAGCTATGGCCCTGGCCAATTTGGCTCAGCGGTTGGAGTGATGGTCTGCAGTCCGGAAAGACCCGGGTTCGGTTCCCGCTAAGGGCACGTACCTTGGTTGCAGTTTGTCCCCGGCCCTGGTTGGGTCGTGCGGGTGGCAGCCACTCAATGTGTCTCTTTCAGGTCGATCTCTCTCTCTCTCTCTCTCTCTTTCTCTCTCTCCCTCCCTCCCTCCCTCCCACTCTATCTGAACAAGAACAACAAAAAGCTGTGTGTGTGTTCAACAAAGTTTATAGTTTTAGTAAATTACTGATAAAACTCCACTGAAGCTTCCAAATTATTTCATATCACTTTCCTTTATGAAATAAAGTATTTCAGTAGTTATTAGACAAGTTTTTCAAATATTTTATCTAAAAATATCTGTACATGTATTGTAAGTGTCTCACACAAACCATGTGGTATTTTATAGGTATATGACTATACAACAGTGATAAAATGAGTGATGACAGAGTTCAGTAGATTCTAATGCTTTTCACTTTAGGAGCAATGCAAAATGAATACAGTTTTATGCCAAAGCTGTTAGCAAGTGGGTTGCCATAGATGAACCAAACCTTATTTCTTGTTGCCTCCTAAAGGAGCACTGGGTGACCCCTCGCAGATGACCTGCAAGGCCGGAATGGCATGTGGAACCACGGTGGGAGCACCACCGCACCAGGATTCGATATGGCTCTTTGGGAAAGAAACCTGTGTTTTCAGAGCTAGTGTCTCCTGTACTGTAGCTTACCTTGTGTCTGTCATTCCCAATCCTCAGACCTGGTGGGCTCTCGGGACACAAACCATGTGGACCAATGGTTCAAAATCTTATGAAGCAGGAAAAGAGAAAAGAACATTTTATCTCCACTCTTCTGAAGATGCCAGAAGAGGTCTCTAAGCTCCCAGATAAATGTAAAACACCAAGCAATATGCCCAGAATTACTAAGTGCTATAGTGCCCATCGTCAGGCTAAGAGCTATTGCTGGGGTCGGAAGGCCTGGCAACCCTCTCTAGAACCAGGGCCACCATTGCTCTCCTGGTTTGGGTGCCAACTCCAACCCCTGGTCAACCCAGATGCCCTGAAACCACAGGCAGATGCCTATGAACAGGCCCATGATGGACCACCAGACATTTATCTGGAAAACTAGCAAAGGGTAAAATCAATTATGGGCACCCAGGAGACTAACAAGGAAATAATAAATTTTACCCACCTAGAAATACAGGCAGTTCTAAAATATTTTGTTGACAAGACAGTGAAAATGGGACTGATACTTGGGAGAAGGGTGTTAACTGTGCTGTGCAAGACACAAATGACCGTCCCTGGCAGGTGGACTGAGAAGCCTTGGGAGGAGAGAGTGCTGCCTACAAGGCAGCCTCCTGGCCCCTTTCCCACTTCCCATCACCACCTTTCCATGCAGCCACCTAGAAGGTCTGCTCTAGGAGGGCTCAAGACAAAAACAATGAGCAGAAAACCTGGCTTCAGGTGCCTGAAACAGAAAAAAAGAACAAGAAAGAAAAAAAAAAATTTAAAACCTATATATAGAGGTAGAAACTAAAAGGTAGTTATACAAATTATATATAATATATGTTACATAATATATACTATATATGATACATATATATGGTCTATGATATACATATAAGTCAAAACACAGGTTTATAATTTGATCCAATTGGAGTTCCAATATGTGCTTAAAAATTTACATAACAAAAAATTTAAAAGGACTGATTGGTTTTTGTGCCTCTGCAACAAAGATTCTAATTGAACTTTAACACCTTCTAAAATGTACCAATTGATGAAGCTTTATGGACCTAATACTGGGGCTCAAATTATAGGTATGCCTGGTCATCCCATTAAATTTAATAATGGCGCCCTGGCCGGTTTGGCTCAGCGGTTAGAGCATCGGCCTGCGGTCTGGAGAGACCCGGGTTCGGTTCCCGCTAAGGGCACGTACCTCGGTTGCAGTTTGTCCCCGGCCCTGGTTGGTCGTGCGGGTGGCAGCCACTCGATGTGTCCCTTCACATCGATGTTTCTCTCCTCTCTCTCTGTTCCTCTCTCTCCCTCCCACTCTACCTGAACAAAAAATGGAAAAATGTCCTCAGGTGAGGATAAAAAAAAAAAAAAAAAAATTTAATAATGGCAATCCCTATAATCTTAGTAAAGTAACCAAATATAATACAGACACAGAAGTGGGGAGGAGTTATTTTAACTATAGGCTTTCCTAAATTTCCCATAATCATAGTACCATTGCCCTAAAATATCTCATAGTTGACACAGACACTCAAACACAATGTGTAGTGCATTAAAATAATTTAAGTCTTCGACATTTACAAACTGACTTATTAAAATGGGGCTCCATGGACCTCCAATTAAAATAGTTAATATGCCCAGCCAGTGTGGCTCAGTGGTTGAGTGTCTACCCATGCACCAAGGGGTCGTCAGTTCTATTTCCGCCAGTCAGGGCACATGCTCCGGTTGTGGGCCAAATCCCCAGTGAGGGGCATGCAGGAGGCAGCCAATGAATGTTCTCTATCATAAATGTTTCTATCTCTCTCTCCCTCTCCCTTACTCTCTCTCTAAAATCAATAAAGAAAAATAAAATAAAATGGTTAATATATCCTGGGGTGGGGTAGGAAAAGATAAACCAAAGAACTTATTTGCATATGTGCATAACCAATGAACACAGACAAGAGTATGGGGAAGGCAGGAGGGGTTGGGAGCGAGGAGGAGAGAGTCAATGGGGGAAAATGGGGGGGGGGGGCATCTGTAATACTTTCAACAATAAAGATTTAAAAAATAAAAATAAAAGTTAATATGTCCTAATTGAAGTTAGAACAAGGCTTTCCAGTATTAAAACTTATTATGTAACACCTAGTTAATATGAAGGTGATTGTATCCACTGCTTCCTCATTTGACAACACAATTTTGCCTGTTCTTAAACATGGAAACAATGCATGCACCTCATGGTAGACTACTACAGACTTAATGATGTGGTTCTATCCATTACGTCCTCTACAGCTAATACCCAATATTATTAAAATTACTTATTCCATCCAAATGGCAACTGGTATTAGATTTGGCTAATATGTTCATTTCAGTGACTATTTCAATAACCTCCCTCCGTTGTAGTTTGCCTTTACCTCCAAAGGGACAGAGTTCATCTTTTCTAGGCTACATATGGGGTACCTCAATAGCTCTGTCATTACACACAGCCTTTGAAGAGAAGATATTCATTGTATCCATTTTTCTTTAAGGGTACAAGTATGACATTAAATTGATGACATCCTTCTCCAAGGACTTATTTGTCACAATCATTAAGGATATAAAAGTGTACTAGTCCTGTTTTGGGTTTTGTTGGCAACATATTCCTCATTTATAATTTTTACTTAATCTCACTGATGCTGTTATTTACAAACCAGTCCCCTTAAATGGGGAACCCTCCAATAAAGGCTTTAGAATCTGCAAAACCTAGTTATCAACAGCCACTCCTCTCATGCATTCTGGAGTCTATGGATGACCATAAATTGTCCAAGGATTTCTGATGCAAGATACTGCCTCTATAGCCCTATTTTACACGCCATTAACATAAAACTTGTTGGATGCATACTAGGCTCTCTTGGAAACAGAGGCTCTCCCAGACCCTAAACCTGTGACATTCCATACCCAACTGCTAATTATACATTGGATCATTGAGGAAATGACCCATAACTCACTATGGCTACTGAGACCCCTCCGTAATCCAGAATAGAGCTAAACTGAGGCCTTCTGGCATATTCCACCTGCAGGATGAGGTGGGCTCCCTGTCCTTAGTCTTGCCAAATGTCATGATGATAAAGGAGATCACTTTCCCCTGAGCTACTGGCTACCTAATCGGCCTTGTGATTAACTGAGTACACAGTTATGGGAGTTCATAGTCCATACAAGTGACATTGCCACCAGCCATAGTGAAGCTCAATGGAATTTTGCTGCTTTCTATCCCTTAGCCAGAATATCCCTGGTAAAGGATAAGACCCAGGATCAACACAATTGGCCATACTTCAGGCAGTGATCTCAGCACTGGATGCTCTGGCCAATAAATGGCCACATCTTCACATTTATTCTAAACCATTGGTCTATTACCTAAGAGTTTGTTTGTTTGTTTGTTTGTTTTTTTTCCCCTTCAGGGTAAAAAATTTAGGAATCTCTTCTCTCACAGATGACTATTGTCTCCTTAAACATTTTCTGTATTAAACTCCAATCAAATGGACCTCTAAATGGACCTCTATCTTTATCTTGCACAGGCCTGAATATCTCTCTCTCTCTCTCATTTTATTTTATTTTATTTTATTTTATTTTATTTTATTTTATTTATGTTCAGCCATTTCATAAAGGAGGAGGACACAAATAAATCTCCCTCTTTAGGTCATGTCAATGTTAACCTATCCCATAAGTATAGCCAATAAAATCTATTATTAGGAGAAAATGTGGTAGTCAAATGGGAAAGCCTTAACCTCTCTTAATTTAAGGCCCCTTGAGGTATATTTAGTGTCCCCTCAGGCCAATTTAAAAGATATCTTCCCATAACCCTTTCCTACCTATATTTAAAAGGAATATGTCTCTCCTCCATATGAGTGAATGTTTGTTATATATGAGGCCCTTTAATGATATCTCTCCTATCTTTATAAATTTCCTATCTTGCCCCTAACCTAAGGGATGGAGGCCAGATTGAGGTACATACTTTCCTTGGATCCCTGAATGACAAACCTCCCACACACTAGGCAGCTGCCTATTTGATATGGCAGCATAAACTCCCACCATCCAGAAAAGCTTCCTGAATATTTGGTTTATAAGCAGTAAATAATTAGTCCAGGGTCTCCTACTAATCCCCTCATGGAAATTAAAATTAGTACTACAGGGCTATTCCTACAATGTGGGCTATCAAAAAGAGAAATAGAAAACTCCACTAAGTAAATACAAATCATATTCAGAGATAATAAAAGTAATACTATATTCCCATAATGATGACACCAGACAATGCATCCTAGGAAATGCTGGAGGAAAATCAACATCCAACAGAAAAACCCTGCCAAATACAGCTGCACATCATTCTATTGTCCATTGTTCTCATTACTATTGGTCTGACTGCATTCATTGGTTTGCAGTCCAGAGGCCAAAACCCTCCAAGTAAGCTATGCTTTCAACCAAACATGGCAAATGCTCAGACTCTTATGCCACCAAGTTTAGCTAATACAAGCCCTGTGAGCCAAAAAGCTCTCTGGTTTGCCCATCACCAACCAAACCAACAAATGAAGACAAGGGCCCATACTAGTTGACCCAAATAGTGGCCTGACTACAGGCCAATGCTGGAATTCCAACCTCACCCTCATAATAACACAGAGCCATAGTAAGACCTCACATCAACTCCAGTGAGTACACACTTGGAAAGGGCCCCTCAGTCCCATACTCCAGATGATGTCACCCAGCTCAGGACCTCACTGCTGGAGATGACATCCTATTAGATTATACCACTCCAGCCCCAAACTTTGAGATCTCCCACTGGAGATGATTTTGCCCTCTGTGACAAAGACAGCTTCATACTCTGGACACTAAAAACTTTGCCCCAGCAATACCCACAGGTTGCCTCTCCTAAGGTGCTGACAAATTAAACACAAAATAGCTATTTTTTCTTCCTTTGATGTTAAGAATTTTATCATGTTTCTTGAGTTTGTTGTCTGCTTAAATCATTATCATGTTATGCTCCTTCTCTTGCCAACATGTACACCCCTTTATCACCATGCCTAATAGGAAATCTGGTAGAGATGATGGCTACCTGTGTTATTCTAAAAATTAAAGAAGACAATTGCTTCCCCTGGAAGGAATTGGCCTCATACAGTCACCTGCTGACCCTCTGGGGAGAGGATCACCCCAAGCGATTTCTCTTACTCAGCTCCCTCCTGCTTCCACAACCCAGTTTCTCAACCATGGACATAAAACCATCCTCTCTCTTTTATTACACATAAATACCACTAAGCTTTGCATATACCTTACTAAATCATTAGCTTATACCCTCCAGAAATGTAACTGAAAGACCTGCACCTTGACTCAAGATAGCATTGCCAACTAGATAGACAGACACCTAAGTATCATTCTTTTAGCACACTTCACAACTCTACCAATTTATTGTTAGAAATCCTGGAAATTTCAGATTTGTTTTCATGGCGAGTGTTATACAAATAAGAAACTGAGTTATGGGACAGCATATAAAGACTCATTAAAATTCTACTTATGTTTTCCTTTTTACTCTCATAATAATATGCGATCTTTGTCGTTTAAGTCAACCAATACCCTAGTGTCTAAGTCTCTTTTATGATTAAGGCCATTCAAATACCCAAATAATCAAGTTCAAAACTGATATAAAGATATCTAGGGGACAATCGTAATACAGTTTTTTTAATGCTATCTTGAGCCAGTTTTGAGGTCCTGGCTAGGGGCCAGTCATTTATGTTTTCTGAGAAGCTGTTATGATGTGTTGTTGTAAGGTTATACCAATGTGCCTGTGTTTCCTGCCTCCCCTTCCACCTCTCCACCTCTCCTGCCTCTGTCACCCCTGAAACAGCAACACTAACCCCTCCTGTTCCTTCTCATCCTCAGCCTACTCATTGAGAAGACAACAAAGACGAAGACATTTACAATGATCTACCTTGACTTAATGAATAGTAAATAATCATCATGATGTACAGTTAACTTATTTATTGATTATGTCTATGATGACCTTCATTTAAAAGTTTATAACTGCTGTATGGGATGTTTTTGTGTCATCATCATCATTAGCATCATCATCACTGCCTAAGTACTCATTGTGTAGAAAATCATGTGCAAGACTTGTATGAAAGTGGATAGCCTATTCTTACATAAATATGAGTGATATTTAATATAAAATTAATAATGCATTTGTTTTCTTACTATTTTATAACTTTTCTTTCAAAGAATTACATTACCATACAGGATGCTTCTCTCATAATTGAAGAAGTTGCATATCAGCCTATTGTAACAGTACGTGGTTTTTAAGACATATAACAGTATTTCCAAAACTGCATTATGAATATGATTACAATACTGTAGGCTATAAAAATTTTATACCAATCCATTCATTAGAGTATAGGCTAAGCTACCTAACATGTAGCAATTGTATTGTTTGCTAGGCTAGGCTATCATAAAGCAACTCACTGCTTCTTTGTTATCAATACATGAATTGTTATACTGGTAAGGAATTTCTTTTTCACATTTTATTTTCATTTTTGATGTTTAGACATAACTCATAAATAGACAACATACACTTACAGTATTGATAAATACAGTACAGTACTGTATATGCATTTTCTCTTCCTTATGCTTTTCTTAATAACATTTTCTTTTCTTTAGTTTACTTTATTGTAAAAATACAGTATAGAATACAGATAACATAAAATGTATGTTAATCAGTTATTTATGTTATCAGTATGTCTTCTGGTCAACAGTAAGGTATTAGTAGTTAAGTTTTGGGATTCAAATGTTATGCACAAATTTTTGACTGCATGAGTGCCCCTCACCCCCACTTTTACTATAATAAAAGTTACATAAATGTCTTTGGGGCTATTACTAGGCAAAATAAGGGATACTTGAGCAAAAGCACTGTGCTATCATGACAGTTGATCTGATAACCAAGATAGTTACCAAGTGACTAAGGGTGGGTAGCATATACAGTGTGGATGCATAGAACAAAGGAATGAGTCACATCCTGGAAAGTACACGGCTGGTCAATGTGGGACTTCATTATGGTGCTCAGAACAGCATGCAATGTAAAACTTTAAATTGTTTATTTTTGGAATTTTCTGTTTAATACACTTGGGCTGTGTTTGACCATTGGCAACTGAAACTGCAAACAAGAAAAACTTGAGATAAGGGGAACTATTGTATTTATATAGAAGAAAGACTTTGCCCTGGCCGTTTTCGCTCAGTAGTTAGAGCGTCGGCCTGCGGACCAGAGAGTCCCAGGTTCGGTTCCCGCTGGGGGCATGTGCCTTGGTGGCAGTTTGTCCCCGGCCCTGGTTGGGGTTGTGTGGGTGGCAGCCACTTGATGTGTCTCTCTCACATCGATGTTTCTCTCTCTTTCTCCCTCTCTCCCTCCCGCTCTGTCTGAAGATAAATGCAAAAATGGCCTTGGGTGAGGATAGAAAAAAAAAAGAAGAAAGACTTTGTCTAGCACATGACCACTATGACAGGGACAATATCCAGAGAGGTATATTTAGTGTCACTGGGACACTATACAATGGAGGATACTTGAGAAGATTTATCTATGTTTAACATTTATAAAATTGATTTTCATATCACAACAAATATGTTCTCATTTTTCTTCTCCTTGATTCACTTCTAATCCTTCACAGACTCCTTCCACTTTAGATATGCACTCAGTGGGTAAGTTAGTGTGACACTGGAACTGGTAAATCAATAGAAGGATGAAATACATCTCATTATCTTGATTTGCTTTCTCATCTTGTTCTTACCAGGGAGGGTGTCAGAGGTCTGTCTATAATGGAAAAAGAGAGCTATTATATTGCCCTTTAATTCTTGCTTACCTTGCTCAAAGGATTTAAGTTTATGGTTGACTAATAAATCTTAAGGCGACAGTAAATTACATTTGCTTTTTTGTTTTTTCAAGGCCAATTCAGATGGTCAGAATTTCTTGAGTCTCTAATTATATGGTGTCTGGAGTAGGGACTGGAAATAAAAGACATCAGTTGTAAACTAGGCAATCAAGATTATCTAATATTTAAAAGTGGTCTTATTGCTATACATACTAATTGTCATACAATGCATTATATTAATATTTACTATGTGTCAGGTACTATTCTAGGCTCTCAGGAAATTTTTTATTTTTTATTTTTAAATATGTTTTTACTGATTTTTTAGAGAGAAGAGAAGGGAGAGAGAGATAGGAACATCTATGTAAAACAGAAACATAAGTAGGCTGCCTCCTGCATGCCCCCCACCGGGATCGAGCCAGAAACCCGGGCATGTGCCCTGACTGGGCACCAAACCAGGATTTCTCAGTCCATGGGATGACGCTCAATCCACTCAGCTACACTGACCAGGTGGAAATTTTATTTTTAAGTGTTCTAATTGAGTTTATATTCTTGTGAAACCAGATGGTGATCAAATAAAATGTCAAATACTACCAGGTCACTTTTTAAGAAAAGCAGAAACTGGGATGAAGTTAGGATTTTAACCAGTTTAGGTGATAATGACTGTGGGTAATAAAGGGGAGGAGGAACATAACCATAACTGGACAGGGAAGCTTACAAACACAATGCTAATCTGACACCTGTGAAAGGAAATGGGAAGAAAGCAACATCGGGCTGGGACAATTCCAGGCACTGACGCAAATCTGACCATTACTGCACCAACGGGACGTGGATTTCCTAAGCAAAGACTGCCAATTAGATGAGTTTCCTCCTGGACAAAAA